AATTTTTGTATTCAACCATCTATCCTGTAAATATAAACATTCATCATGGGTACTTTAAGTTTATTATAAAAATAAAAAAAAAACAAATCTGCTTATAAGATTATCATGCACTCACCTGAAATATTTATTTTATTGCAGATTTTTTAATGCTTACTTTTCTTACCAATATTTACTCAATTTTATAGAATATTTTCTAGCATTTATAATTTTTGTTTATAAAAATGCTATAAAATTTTGATTTTATTTTTATTATGTGCATATTTATTTGTATTTATATATATTTTAGGTGAGAATTTATTATAAATATATTTTTATTAAATAATAAAGGTATATAAAATTTAACAAATACACATTTCACAACTGATAAAATTTGGAATTGTATAAAGTTATGAGTTGTAAAAAATAAATATAAACACATATAAAAATGTTTTTTGATCTTTTGCACTTTATTGCTCCTTGTTTTTAATTATCAGTCATGGGTCGAGTTGACAAATTAAGTGCGAGTTATTTTGAATTATTATTATGAACGAGTTGACAAATTAAGTCAAAAATCAAAATCAAAATTATTTGAACAAGTTAACAAAAGTAAATAGTTAACAAGTTAACAAAAGTAAAAATATATATATATATATATATATATATATATATATATATATATATATATATATATATATATATATATATATATATATATATATATATATATATATATATATATATATATATATATAGTAGATACTGTCAGTGGGTACTTTCAGTAGATACTTTCAGTGGATACTTTGACTCAGGGTTAAAAAAGTGCAATCTTTGAAGGACAAAACTTTACAGCAAAAAAAGAAACATTGTTCTTTTTTTTATATGGAAAACTGTTTTGGTCTTATGTTTGCATTTTTGGAAATAAATTATCTAAAATATATAATAAAGGTGCCAATAATTTGTCTGATGAATCATCAGGTAGTTGTGGTAACTCATGAAACCCTGAATAGCAATAATCTAATATAAATATTAGCAATTATCTGATTTCTGGTACTGAAAATGAAACAGTAACATAAACTATATTTACAGTTACAGTTTATCTATTGAACACTTTTATAAGTATATAAAATCATGTATGGTAATAAAAAGTATTATATATATGTATTTTATCTATATATATTTAAAAGTATTATATATATGTATCATACTTTTTTATGTATTTTTAAGTATATATATATATATATATATATATATATATATATATTATATATATATATATATATATATATATATATATATATATATATATATATATATATCAACAGCACAATATTATTTAATGTTATTTTTCATCCTACTCACATAAAAATAAAACAATTTTTCTGTTAGTCTATAATGCATATATAGTACAGAATTCCATTTTAGAAATAATTATTAAAATTTTTTTTGATATGATTTTAAGTTGCATTAAATAAAATTTCATTTTTCTTTATTATTAAGAAAAAAATCACAAGAGCGTCTCAAATTTAAGTGAATGGGCATCATTTACAAAACTTTTTAAAATACAAGGTCTGTTTCTTGAAGCGACGTGTAATTTAAACAGAGCATAATGTAACTAAACAATTTGTCCTGCTGCTGCTGTTGGCTGTCACTAACAAATCATGTTTTACAATTTATAAAGAAATGACAGTACAGTATATATGGTTTAAACATAGTTGCATTACACTAATCACTATTTCAGCATTACGTTTATTGAAATGAAATTTTACTAGAAATTATCATGTTATTACTACTTCCCATAATAGTAAATTGTTCAGACAAAGTTATAAGTTCCCATAATAGTGAAATGCATAGTTAACAGGTATATTTTAAATCTCTACTCTTTTTTTTTTTTTTTTTTTTTTAAGCTTAGGTTTTTTTTAAAAAAAATCAAAGCAAAAAGATGGCCAGTCTAAATCTATTAATATAAAAAGTTTAATAATATTGTGTTTTCTTGTTATTATTTTTAATAATATTGTGTTTTCTTTTTATTATTTTTAATAATTATGTGTTTTCTTGTTATTATTTTTAATAATATTGTGTTTTCTTGTTATTATTTTTAATAATATTGTGTTTTCTTTTTATTATTTTTAATAATTATGTGTTTTCTTGTTATTATTTTTAATAATATTGTGTTTTCTTGTTATTATTTTTAATAATAATGTGTTTTCTTGTTATAATTTTTAATAATATTGTATTTACTTGTTATTATTTTTGATAATATGTGTTTTCTTGTTATTATTTTTAATAATATTGTGTTTTCTTGTTATTATTTTTAATAATGTTGTATTTTCTTGTTATTATTTTTTCTTAGTTATGATTTAGTGTCTAAAGTTTTGAACTTCAGTTCTGATGTCTTTTGTTGAAGTTTTGTAAGGTAAAATGTTATCATGCTTTAAATTTATTAATCAATTCTTTTATTAAATTAAGTAGTTGAATGATTTCTTACCATTCTTTACTTGCTCTTAATCTAATCAGTATTTGTTTTAAAAACTTTACATTTTTTGGTGGGTTGAGTCAAAGTCAAAGAAATCATTCAGATATTTGTTGAAAATTTCCATTTATGTTTTAAGCAAAGTTTTAGACAACTTTCTGAAAATGGAACATTAAATAGATAAAGATTTTTTTAAATTTAATTTAATATTTATTGTCAATTATAAAAAGATTTAAAAGTAAAATACGAAATTTAAAGTATGAAAGAAATATCTTTATGATGATTAAAATTTGTTGTAATATATATTATTTTAAAATAATTAAAATAATTGATAAAGGGCCTGATTAATTGTAATAATTAAGAAGTGTGCTGTATTTACATCAAATAAAATTAAATTATTGCTTAAAAATTTTCAAATCAAGTTCAAGCCACACAAACATTTGATAGAATCCAAATGTCTATAAAAAAAGTTTTAAATGAAAAAGTTTAATATAATTGATGGTTGTTGGTAAAATGCAAACTGCGAACCGGTAAAATGCGAACTTTTTTGCGAACCAAAACATTATAGTTTAAAGATCATTATTGTTATGATAAAAATAATAAAATAACTCTCCAATATTTAATTATCTATTTTAAAGCTTTATTTAAAATAAAATTTTTATTTTTTAACTGTAAAACATGCGCAGAGTGTTGCTACATCAACTGTCTTATAGCCTGACTTGCAACGGAGTGCTGCTATATCGACTGAGGGTTAGGTTTGGGCAGGCAGTCTATCAAATAATTTTTTTTTTTTTTATTAAATTTTTATTTTATTTGTCTAGTTTCACTTAATTTCCTTTTATTTTTTTTTAATTAATTTTTTCACTTAAAAGTCCTTAAAATATACCGCTAAATGAACTATTCAACTGAAATAAAACATTACATCATTAACAACCATAGGACGATGGTTTGCACAAAAGTTCGCATTTTACCAGTTAGCAGTTCGCGGTTCGCAGTTTACATTTCACCTAGTACCATAATTGATTTTGTAAATATCATTGAAAAAGTTATAATAATGAAACCTTTTGAAAATTCATATTTTTATTTTAGTTAAAAAGTTGGTAGTTTTTGTGAAATATTCTTGTAATATACAGGGATTATTTTTTTCCGGGTATTTCCGGAATTCCTAATATTTTTGTTTTTCTGGATATCCAAAATATTTTCCATACATTCAAGTTTAGGTATATATTTTTGTAATATATTTGTTTTTTAATCTTTTTCACTCATCATTCATAAAAAAGTTAAGATAGGTTTGGATAAAAAAAAGTTAAGATAGGTTTGGATAAAAAAAAGTTAAGATAGGTTTGGATAAAAAAAAGTTAAGATAGGTTTGGATAAAAAAAAGTTAAGATAGGTTTGGATAAAAAAAAGTTAAGATAAAAAAGATAGGTTTGGATAAAAAGTTTAAAACAACTCAACTAAAAGCAAAACTAGAAGAAATTATTCCAGATATTTTACCCAAACAATTTTCCCTATTTTTAAAATATGACCTGGATGATCTATGAATATATGTATAATAATAATTTTAAATACCTGTTTAATGTATTTTTATTTTATTTTGAAAAATATATAAAATAACACGTCTAAAATAATAATTTTTGTTTAAAATAACATAGACCAACAAAATATATGCAATAATTTCCATATATACAATCACTTTTCTTCTATTATGTCAATTTCAAGCCACTAATATATATTGAAAATCCCTAAATTTGTCAAAAAAAACAACAAGTTTTCAAGTGTCAACTTGGTTCTTAAAACAAGTCTCTTTTTTAAAGAGATTTTCGATAATGTGAACTTTTTTGCTACTTGATTATTTTTTTTTTTTTAATAATAGTAAATAGGCTTCATTTGAGAGAGAGTGGTGGTAGTGATGATGATGATGCACTACCACCACATTTTTTAGCACATTGTGTGCAATTTTAAGGTATATGTTATTAGAGTATTGCAACATATAGTTTGTAAAAATTGGCAAGGTTTTTTATGCAATTTTAGGGTAATTTGATTATAGCAGTGTAATAGTTTGTAAATATTGACAGAGTTGTGGCATTTTTAATTAAAGTAAGACTTAATAAATTTAGAGTTTATTGTTTGTTCAAATTTTCCAACTTATTACAAATTTATGATTAATTTAGTTAATTCACCAATAATTTCAATAAAAAAATAATATATTGCAATATTAAAAAAAACATAATGCTATTAAAAAAATAACATAATGCAATTAAAAAACAAAATAATCCAATATAAATTACAAAAAAAAAGGTTTATGTTTATCTTTAATTTTTTTATTTTAAAATAATTAAAATAAAAAAATTTAAGATAAACATAATTAAAATAAAAAAAATTAAAGATAAACATAATTGAAATGAAAAAATTAAAGATAAAATAATTAAAGATAAAATAATTAAAGATAAAATAATTAAAGATAAAATAATTAAAGATAAAATAAAAAAATTAAAATAAACATAATCAAAATAAAAAAAGTTGTTGTTTTTTTTCAATGAAATTTGTTTAAAGAAATCTTAAGATTTCAAAAGACTTAAAGCAGAGTTTTTAGATTTAATGCTGTTAAATACATTTTTTTTCTATTGTTAATTTTTTTCACATTTAACCATTGATTATTTTTTAAGTTGCTGACATATTTACTTTTAAATAGGATAAATTCCATCATAAAAAGAAACACTGAAATGTATTTTAAATACTGTAAAATGTCTTATAAATTTTTTACAATAAAGTGTTTTTATTATCTCATTCATTAAATTTTTTACAATGAAGTTTTTTTATTATCTCATTCATCAAATTTTTTACAATGAAGTATTTTTATTATCTCATTCATCAAATTTTTTACAATGAAGTATTTTTATTATCTCATTCATCAAATTTTTTACAATGAAGTATTTTTATTATCTCATTCAATTTCAATGATTAAGAGGATTAATTAAAACAACTTTTAGTTGTTATGGTTGCTTTAAAAAAAACTTTGTTGTTCTCACATAAATTTGTCAAATTGCTAATGTACATTTGAAGAATTTAATAAATGTAATTATAAATGTAGTAAATTCTTTTATAAATGTAATTATAATTAAATAGTTTTTTTCCCTTATATTTTAGGTTCAATATAAACCAAATTATAAACTTTGGTTTATAATTTGGTTTATAATTTAGGAAGAAATATTAAATAAATGCTAAAATATTTATATCTAATTTTATATAACATTTTCTGTCTATTTGCTGTCTAATTTAAATTACCCTATTAATTTTAATTATTTTTATTATTTAGTTATAAAAAATTTTATTAAATATTTTTATTTTAATTTTATAGAAATTTTATTTTTGATATGCTTTTATTTTAGCTTATATCTCTATATTTTGTGTATAGAATTTATCAAGAGAAGCATGAAGTTTACAGAAGTTGCTAGGATTACTTACATTTTTGCGCAGTTAGTTAATTACTTATCAGTCTCTTTGATTTATTCTAGTAATGTTGGTTGCGGACCATATCCTTTTACTGTTATTACACACAAAGATTATAAATTTTTTCCGTTTGCAGTTATGTTAACACGTTGCTATGGAAAAGATACCCATCATTCACTAATGAGATGTGCACCAACTCTAAGTAAACAGATAAATATTTCAACAGTTTCATTTGACAAAATACCTTACACTACAACAGTTTTAAATCATATTAGCTGTGAAGAGAAATGTACTATTAACGCGTTAGCATGTAACCAATATCAATTTTTTAGCAAAAGTGACTGTCAATGTTTGTGCAAACATGACACACACCCAATTTCTTGTAAACACCCGTTTGTATGGGATAAGACCTTATGCAATTGTGCATGCCAATATAATAAAAACAACTACAAATGTGAAATAAAGAAAAGGTTTAGTGTTGCTGACTGTGGTTGTGTTTGTAAGCCTATTTACTACAAGAGATGCATGGAACAACCTGGAAAACTATTTAATCCGCTGACTTGTGAATGTGAAGACCTGACATTAATAACAAATAAATTAGAAAAATCAATTTGTAAAAATGATTTCAGAAAATTTATTGTAGTTGTATTTTTTGTTGAAGCAGTAGGTCTTTTTTTGATATTATTCTTTTTTACAAGATATTGTAATTCTAGAAAACTTACGAAAAAATGAAATATTAAGTTTGTAGATGAAAAATTATAGTTGTAAGATATTAGTTAGAAATATCAATTGTAGATTTTAATATAATAATTTGTTTCATAGAAAACTTACAAAGACATACTTAACTTTTTAACAGTCTATGACAGTAGCATAAGAATAATTGAATCACGGAATTTGTCACCCATCTTGTGTGTGTGTGTGTTCATTAACAACTAAAAATAAAAGTTGTTCAATTGATTAACAACTAAAAATAAAAGTTGTTCAAGTTTTTCTTTTTTTTATTTCCCTATTTCTTGATTTAAAATTTGTTTTTTGTTGTTAAGTTTGTTCTTATTTTTTTAACTAACAACTAAAGAACTAACATAACCTTTTATTTTTGACTTTTATGTTATGAGTTATTATTGAGTTAGTGTTGTGGTGTTTAGTGATGTATAAAGTGTTGTGATGTGTATAACTAACTAAAAAAACTACATCATTAAATTTAATTGTTACCATGGTTCTCTTTGTAAGCTTGGTTTGAAACTAATTTTCTCTTGGTTACTTGTGCCAAACTTTGAAATATGTTTTATGATTTATTTTCCTCCTTTTATTTTTCTTAACAAATTGGATTTACTTAAAACCTTTTTTAAAATATATTTAATAAATGTTTTTCTATTTTTTGAGTTATTTGTAATAACTAATACTATAAGCAATTCTGGAAATTTAAGTTATTACTCAATATCTTAAATTATTACTCAATGTCTTAAATTATTACTGAATGTCTTAAGTTATTACTCTATATCTTTATTTAATTATATTAATTAATTAAAATAGGTTAATGATATTTTGCTTAAGTTATTTACCCCCAATTTCATCAACCTTTTTTTATTACTTATATTACAGTCTAAAAGTCTAAAAGATTAGAAACTTAACTGGTTACTTCATGCAGTGTTTGATAAGGCTAATGTTTTATATACATATACATTGCATAAATACATACATACATACATACATACATACATACATACATACATACATACATACATACATACATACATACATACATACATACATACATACATACATACATACATACATACATACATACATACATACATTCATACATACATGCATACATACATACATACATACATACATACATACATACATACTTACATACATACATACATACATACATACATAAGAAGGTTGTATAATATATAATATGTATTATTCAACATTGTATAACATATTAGAAGAAAAATAAAACTGTTTTCATAGTTATAATTTATGAGCATATTCTTTTGTTCAGTAAAAATATTAAACCCATAAAATAAATAACTTTTTATTATTTGATTAACTGATTTTGATTATATTCATTTTTAAACCTTACAATGGATCTTAATAAAAAAGTTTAAATTTAATTTTTATAAAAGGTGTATTAGTATTTGTGCGGCCGTGGCGCAGTGGTTACAACGCTTGCTTTTTAAGCAAGAGAACCAGGTTCAAAAAGAGCTCTGGACATATTTTCGCGTCATGGTAAGGAAGGAGGCATGAACTTCCTGGATAAATGCACTTCTGCGGTGCTCTCTGACAAGGCTGTTAGGTCTTCTTGGGGCACCTAAATAACAAAAAAAAAAAAAAATTAGTAATGCCACACTTTGTCATAACCAAATTTTGCCGATTTAAAATGTAAGTTAAAAATCCTTTTTTTAGAGGAGAAAAAAAACAATTATTTTAATAAAAAATTCAAATATTTGTCTATGCCCTAAAAAAATAATTTAATTATGTTTTTGTTTGCCATCCCCTCGTTTGCCATCCCCTCGCCTAAAATATGCTGTTTTGGGTTGTTTTGAGGTTCGTTTTTTCCCAAATAGGATCCTTCAGAGCAAGGAAAGAGTGATCAATGGTGCATAAATTTTTTAGGAGTCTATTTAAACTTTTTTTTTTTTTTACATAATGTTTTGGCTCATTTAGCAAGAACCATTATCAAATTTTTAAAACCGTTGTGAATATTTATATTAGTTTAATAATGGCTCTACCTATATGAGCCGAAACATCACATAAAAAAAAAATTCTTGTGGATTATGAAAATATTATTTTACTAACTTTGTTTTTATAATTGCAAATGACTTTATTTTATATAGACTGTGAAGTTAAATAAATGTTCTACAAATATTATTCTGAATAACAAATTTATTTATATTAGTAAGTAACAGGGGCCTTGACCCAGGCTAAAAATATGATTTTTCACAAACCCCACCCCTGCAAAGTTATAAGATTTAGCAGGGGTTGATAGCTAGAAAAAGTTTATAAAACTTTATATATTATAAAACAATACATATATTTATTATTTATTAAATACTGGCATACATATAGTTATATATTTTTTCACTTCAAACAAAGTTCACAAAAGCAACCTCTATTTAGTTATGAGTTACTAGAAAGCAAAAGATAGGATTAAAGAGCAAGGAATCGATTAACTGAGAACTTAAAAAGTTGTAGGTTTTATGAGTTAAGAACACATGAAGATGGGTGAGAGTTTTGAGGCTTTGTTGATGTGCCAGGAAATAATATAAATAGATGAATAAAAATTTTTACAACATGAAGAGACATATACAGTGTAAGGATGCAACTTTGCTGAATAACTAGCTAAGGGAGAATGAATTTTGGTTGATTGAACTAGAGATGAAAGCTTATTTGAGCAGTAACCATGATAGTATTTGTAGATAAAGAGATGAAACTTTATGACAATGGGAGAGTGGCTCAAGCTTGGCAGATAAAGCAGTTCTGCTCTTAGACCTTGTCTGAGAGTAAGAGGGTTGTTGTTTCTTAATATAAAAATGTCAACAATATTACAATAGTTGATTGCAGTAAATCTGAGTTTTGTTAGAGTTAAAATCCACAAGCCACTGCAAGCATTAAGGTGTTATAAAAGAGAGTTTGTCAGAGAAGATTAAAATGGTTTGGAGCATGTAGAGAGGTAGCAACTTTTTGGAGAAAGTAGTGTTGTTGATTTTGATGATGATAATCATGATTATAATAATGATAATGATGATTATAATGATGATAATGATGATTATAATGATGATGATGAAGATCATGATGATGATCATGTAGATCATAATGATGTTTGTTTATAAAAATAAATGCATATATGTAAAATATGATATGAATTTGAAATAAAAAAATATACTTTAGGATATATCAATTTTTATGCAGCCTGCTCACAAACTTGGCCCCAGCTATTTTTTATCAAACCCGGTTAAATTTCAACTCCAGTCACTTACTAGTTAATAAATGCATTTTAGTTTTTTTAATAAATATATTTGAGTATGTTTTTGATAACTCTATGTTTGTAATGTAAAGAGTATTTTATCCATTATTTATAGTTAATATTTTAACATTTTTACACTATGTTGTCTAATATTTATTTGTTAGAATAAGTATGCTAGTTCAAAATTTTTTGTCTTTCATATCATTGAATCTTTTAAATTTTGGTGCTGTTGTGACATGTGTTGTTTTACTTGCAACGTGGATGTTTTTGAAACGAGAAACCAAACCAAATAAAAAAAAGGTTATTTTTTTTTTTTTATATAAAAGTTACTATACTATCATTTTTTAAAAATTAAATTATGGTTTAATTGTGCAACTAAATTTATTTATTTAGTGGGTAATTTATTCTAAACTAAACCCACTAAATTATATTTTCAGTATTCTAAAGAAGCTACAATAAAAGCAGTTGTAAACGAAACTGATGTAAGATCCCCTTGTCAGTCTCCTACAGACATTACTAAGATTTCCAAATTTGACCAATTAGACATGAAGAATCCATCAACAGTGAAGAAGTATGTTCAAGAATTAAGGCAACAAGCATACATTAAAAAAGAAATGTCAGATGAAGAACTGCAAATGGAGAACGAGTTAGTTGCTTTATTTTTTTTGTTGTTGTTTTTAATATGTTTTATATATGAATTAACATGTGTCACTTTATTGTAGTGGTTTTGTGCATCGAGGAGGTTATGTTTTTTATAAATTAAAATGCAATCCTTCACAATTATTCCATCAAGTTACAACAAATACAAATACAATATTTACAACAATAATTATAAAACAATTACAAAAAATGTTGAAAACTTTAACTTAATTATTCAGCAGTCAAATTATGGCAATCAAATAAAAATAAAAAATTTAATTTAAATAAATGAAATAGTTTTAAATTTAAATAAATCCTATATCTATCACAGTATTTTAATTTTTATTAAATTAAAAATTAAAAGCCACAAAATTATTATATTTAAGTTTTCAATACTTTTGGATTGCTACCATGATTAGATAAGGTAACTGATAAGATAATAGGTATGTAATCATGATTCTGATACAATAATGATTTATAATGAAAGATGAAAGATGAAGAAAATTTTATATAGAAAGATTTCACCTAGAAAGATGTTCATTATTAAATCAATCCTTCAAAATATTAAATGTTTATGTTGAAAGTTTTTTTTTATCAAAGTATATACTCAGCATAAATTGGATTAATATTATGCATAAATTAATGTCTTTTAAATAAAGGTTGCAATTTATTTTTTTGGTTATTTTTATGGTTAGAGACAAATTGGTTAAATAGGGCTTCCCGTTTTAAGATTTTCACTTCAGCCCAATTATAGATTATGTATCTCGCTTTAAAAAGATTGTATTTTGCAACCAATCAGAATTTAAAAGATATTTTTGAAAAAGCTCTTTTTTTATAGTTTTTAAGTTTTTAATTTCTAAATTATATATTAAAAAAAATAAATCAGGATTAAATTAAAAAGGTAACTTTTGATCAATAAATCTCTGTTAGATCTAGTTAGAATAGCCATTAGTGTCATACCTGTTAGATCTTATGATGTCATTTCTTGGAACACCAAGAAGTGCAACATTTCAAGACGCCATTCAATTATAGATATTGTTTTATCAAAACTTTTTTTTTTTGTATGTTATACAACACAAGATTTAGTATTAAATATTTTGTTGTGTAAATACCTCAATATTTATTTTTAATAAATAAACATGTAAAAGAAAGAAAAATTTCACAATAATAGTCCATCTTGCGTTGGAACTTCCAAGATGTTGATACCATATCAAGTAAAAGTCCAGTAAATTTAAAAAAACTTCAATTTTTTGTATATTGTAACTTTGATTAGAACTTGGTTTTTGGTTTATTAAAACTTTGGTTTTGTTGTGACAACATATTTAAAATACAAACATTTTTATTTAAGTCTTGCAAAGGCTTGTCTTATTATAATTTAGGTCTTGCAAAGGCCTGTCTTTATTTTAAAGCTTTTTTTTCTTTGATATTGGTTTTTGGTATTTGTTTTTTTCAATGAAAGATTTTTTTTCTCAAAATCTTGTTCTGTGAGAATAAAATGTTTTCTATGTAGATTTATTTGAGTTTAACATCTGCTTCTTTAAGCTAACTATTCGAGTTTTTTTTAATTTGGTTGTAACCAGACAAAGCTTTAGAACTGCTAGTTTTTGCTTGTGTCAGAGACAGAAATAGTTGGCAGGTCTAGCTTGCAAAAAAAATTTAAAGATTATAAGAAAAAATTAGATTTTTTAATTTGTTTAACTATATTTTTGAATCTTTGCATACTAATTAATGTAAAGAAGAATTTTATCTACAACTGCTTTCAGTTTTCATTAACATCAAGACCTCACTATGAGGTCTTATATTTTAAGAAAAATAATTAGGTCTTAGATTGAATTTGAGATATTCTTCAGAAGTGCTAGTGGTTCAGTTGAATAAAAGCAATCGTTTAAAATATTATAATTTTACTAATAGGTCTATTAAAAATTACAAGCATTTTAAGTCAAGGTTTTTTAAAGGTTTTGTTAATGACCTTGTTTTTAAAAATAGGTTGTTTAATAAAATATGGCCTAACATAATCAAAAAGCCTTATAGGATCCAATAGAAATCCTATAGGTCCTATAGAATCCAATAGGTCCTTATAGATATATATATAGGACCTATAGGATTGCTCTATTCCTTATATGCATCCTATAGGTTCTATAGTATTTTTATAGGACCAATAGGATACCTATAAGAATCTTATAGCAATCTTTGGGGTAGCAATAGACTGCTGTACTCTATATAACAGCAATAAAATTGCTATACTCTAGTCAAAAAGTTGTATAAGATCCCATAGGTCATATAAGATATGCAAGATCCCATAGGTCATATAAGATATGCAGTATAACAATAGATTTATTATAGGATTATTGCTATACTCCTATAAGAATTTCGTATTTCCTATAGGATTCTTTTAAGATCTATAGGACATCTATAGGAATAAACTAATATTAGGTACAAAGTTAATTAACGATATCATGCCCTGTTAAATCCTATAGGGTTTTTATAAATCATATACAATTATTTTTAATATTATAATGTAAAGATTGGATTTCTACTACACTCATAAGATGATAATGTGGTTTGCAAGACTTGTAGGGCACCTAAATAAATTAAAAATAGCCCTAGCTAGTCAAAAGATATTTTAGGGTATCCTATAAAATTATATAGGACATTTCTATATAAAACCTATATACGCCGCATGATAAAAACTACTATATAAAATCCTATTAGACTGCAGGGTCTAATAGGATTTTTGCAGATTTTTCTTTTGCTGTAGAATTATAAGATTCTGATAGGTTTTATTTTTATAAAAATAGTTTAAAACTTTTTTAAGCTGAACTTAAATATTATTTAAATAGAATTTACAATACATACGTACATATTTTACTCTTTTTATAGAATATTGTATAAAAAAAAACGAATTAGTTAATGAGATTTTTTGTAAGAGTGAATCTACAAAATAATCCTTTATTCGTATTTCACAGGAATATCCTATATAAACTGTTAAGGTCATTCCTTTTTAGATTAACAAGATATCTTTATTAGTGAACCTAGAGGTTCTTCCTACATAAATTGTTCTATAGGACTTTAAATTACAAAAATATATTTCGATACGATTTTGGAACAGGACTTTCTAGGATTCGTGTAGGTCCTAACTTATAGGATGCTTTTATATAGGGTTTCTTATAGGGTAGGACTCCTACAAGATTTTTTATAAATATAGTTTCCAAATCTATAAAAATTCTTATAAGGTGTATTGAATATGATTATCCTATACCAAATCCGTTCCGATTTTTATAGGTATGTCCTATAGAGTTTTTATAGGATATTCTATAGAACTTTTTGACTAGGGATAACCATGTTAAACTTTTAAATAAGCTACATATTAAAACCAAACTTAGGTTTTGTGAGATTTGCAGTTTTCTCTAAAGATAACTTTCGCAATACACAGGGGTGAATACAACTGAATCATCAAAGAGTTTTTTTGGATTTTATTTGGCTTGTTGATTCTACTAATAAGATAATAATATATTTAAGATTTGTAATTCAATGTTATTTTGTTTTTTAAAATATTGTTAAAATTTATGAAAAAATAACATCCTAAAGTAATCATTCTTTCTTTAGAGCAAAAAATAGACAACTAGCGCAAATACACGCTTTGTTAAATCAAGAAAAACATAAGTTTGGCGGTGAAATGTCATTTGACGAGTTGAATGCGCAAATGGCACTTTATAATTAACCTTAATATTATTTTGTTTTGGAGTTGATATTTTGTTCCGTTCTAGTCACTTTATTTATAGTGTTGCGTAGCATAGCTGTTCCAATCGTATTGTACTTATGCTTTTTGTATAAATGATAAAATTGAAAAGTTATACGTGTAAAAATTTATATATTTATTTACGCATACTTTATATATATATTATTCTTATCTTTCTTAAAATATATAAAATTTATAAAAAATATCACTTGATGTTTCAAAATCATTAAATTGTGCTCGATGATTGGTTATATTTTTAACTAGTAATTTTACTTATTTCAAAGACAGGTTTTTTAAAAATAAAAACAAATAGTTTTGTCACAAGCACGCCTACATCGTTAAAATCACAAAAACAGGTTTTTGTTATGTTTTAATTTAGTTCCTAATATTTTAAATAGTTTGAAATGATTTTCAGGATCGTTAAGATTATATAATTTTCGATCTTTAATGGAAATTTTAGATTAGTAGCGAAAAATGGTAATTTAATACTATATAAAATAGCTTTACAGAATGCGCTAAACAAGAATACAATCAACTTATTTTTATAACTTACTAAATTATAATCGATTTCTGGCATAAAAGAAATGATTAGTTTATACGTAGACTGTCGTTATTTACTGACCAGCCAGATTCAATCAGGCGAGTCTAGAATGCTATTGTTATAATTTTTAGTATTAACTTAAAATTTTGTATCTTTAGTTTTATTCGGCTTGTGTTTATTTAAGCAGTTAGTCTTGTTTTTCTGATTTTCATGTGTTTAACCGTTAAAGCAATTTTTTATAATCAGTCGTCGATTCGCGCAAATTATCGACAACTTAGTAATTTTCACGGCGCGCATAATCGTCTATTTAAGAAAACCAACCGTCAAACTTTGGATGGATTTTGTACCAGATTCTTCCTAGATAGATAGTCTCTATGCGATAACATCAACATGTTGAAGGAATGAATACTGAAAAGAATATTGCCGCTATAACCAAAAGTATGTAGGAAGATCTAAGTTTATCGTCGGTTGTTGGAATTTAGTCTCTGACTCTGAATTATTCGGTAAATTTTGCGTAAAGATCTAAAGAGCCTACACCTGTATAAAATCCAGCTTGTGCAGGAATTGAAGCCACGAGACCATTATATGCGTCGCGCTTTTGCTAATTGGGCTTTAGAGCAAATAACAACTGCCCCATAGTTTTATCACAAAATTGTGTTTTTACGGCTTATTTAGTAAAATATTTTGGCTTGACGGTTAATTAGGAATATTGCCGCTTATGGAGTTAGAGCAATTCACCAGATGCTCTTCAGACTCCATTAATGAAGTGTAATGGAGTATAATGCATTCATGGAGTACAGTTTATAATCGATTATGGTGTACATTAATAAATGTAATTACATCCAGAAAAATATACCGTTTACATGCTGTTTGCATCATCAGACCTTATTTCTTCAAAATGTGTCTTCAGTTCGCGTTACATTTTTAAAATCAGAATTTGGCAATAAGTTGGTTTCGAGAGATGAACCTGTCAAAAGGCTTCCTAGGTCGTGCGATTTGAAACCTCCTGATTATTTCCCGAGGGACTACGTGAAGTCACTGGTTTATGCTAACAAACCAGCAACAATTGTCGTTTCGGAGGCCAGCATTGTTTGTGTTATTCGCAACATATTGCTAGCAGGGAATACGAATTAAAGACAACAGTTGTACGAATTTTATCTTTTGTTTGTTTGTTTGTTTATTAATTAGTCTAACTATTCAGTCACAAACCCTCAAAAGCAATTTTTCTAAAACTTATTATAAAATAAAAATATAGGGCATCAAATAAAACCATTGGTGTTCGGAATCAACCTACGTATGTGGGGTAATTCTAAACACACCGTGGGTAATCACAAACTCCGTTGTGTAATTACGAATAAAATGCAAATTGTAATTTTTTATCTCGGTTCTCGGTCTATTCGAGACGATATTTTTCGCGACGAGATCTTCTCATACGAGACCGTGAAAAATCGATATTTTTAAAAAAACTCAAAAAATGAGAAATTTTCAGAAAATGACCGAAAATCTTGTATTGCTACTTATAATTTTTATAAATAGTTTTACCCCAAGAAACAATAGTCAATTTTGAAAAAAAAAAGAATATAAATTTGGATTATTGATCTTTTGTACATAAATCAAAAAAAAATTAATTTATCATTTTAAAATTAAGTTAACACTAAGTATCAACAAAATATTACTTAATAAAAATGTAACAATACTTTGTAAAATACTTTGTACTGTTATTTTATAAATTAATTAAACAAAATAAAGTTAACTCAGTAATAACAAAAATAATTCGGCATTATGTCTGCAGACATAATGCCGAATTATTTTTGTTATTACTGAGTTAACTTTATTTTGAAAACTGATTTAGCAGATCTGCTAAATCAGTTTTTGATACAAAACAACGCCATAGCAACCAATATATAAACAAAACATTTGTAAAAAGTTTGTGAAATGACTAATTTATAAATAATCATGCAAAAGATCTGAAATTTAGACATTTTGTTTTTCCTAGTAATAAAATTTATTTAAGAGAAGGATTTTGTTTAACGCATTTAAGTTCTTAAAATTTTTTATATTAATCTTGTTTGAGTTGATTAATTTGTTAGATTTTGTTAGTTTTTTATGCACCATTTCTAAAATTAAAATACGTTACAAATTTCATGTTAAAATGGCAGGTAAACTTTGAGTAATTTGAATATATATATATATATATATATATATATATATATATATATATATATATATATATATATATATATATATATATATATATATATATATATATATATATATATATATATATATATATATTGATATCAATGATATATTTATTTGAGAATAAAATAATTTAATAATAGATTTTATGAACTTTTTTTATCTGCTGCATTAGTTAATAAAAAAAAATTTAAAAATTGATTAGTATTGCTCATATCGTTTTAAAATGCCAAACATTAAAAACTCTCAAAAAGATGACATTTGTACTAAATATAGAAAAGAATTAGAAAGACTTGAAAAAGGAGATAAAAACATTATTCTGAGTAAACCGTATGAATTCTCAAAAGTCAAAGTAAGTATACTTACCAGAAACCAATCATTCTGTGTTTGTGACATTTTATAAAACTGCACGAATTGCAATTACTTAATTAATAAGTGCAAGATTTTGAAAATTATGTTGAACTTATGTTTACAAAGCCTTCTTTAAAGATTTTAAAAATTCCAAACTTTCAGCTGCATCTTATATTGATTGCGTTAACCTTCCATAGATTACAAATGTTTTACAAGTTTATCGTAAAACCTGTTTGCATTTCCACTAAGTAAATAGAGTTCTATTGAAGCAAGAATTTCAATAACTGTTATGCCATCAGGCAGATCAACCAGTGGATACTACCTTATTGGAAAACCAGTGAAACCAAATTTAAGGTTTTCAAAGGCCTAAGCTGCATAATGGTCAATTTAAAGGTGAAGAATGTTCAAAACTGCTAAAAAATATTCATGAGTTAAAAGAATTAATAAAATCTTCTAAACTGTAAAGAGATAAACATATTATTTCTATAGTTAATTCCTTTAAATGTTTTAAATCTGTTAAATTTGCGTGTCTTGCTTTAGTTTGTTACCTGAACGTGAGTCAACCATTTACGGATACTAAGATGCTAATGTTAAACTTGGTCTGCAATTTTCACTGAAAGTGTATGTTCTTATTAAACATACATATGAATTTCTTTTACTTATATAAAATTCCAACCCGAATAAAAGATTAGGTTTTGGTTTGAATAGGCCTCTGAACCTGTTCATTATTATTTTTAAGCAGTTTTGGGAGAGTGGATACAAAGTTTCTAGAAGCCTTATCCGCAAAGCCTGTTTTAAGCTACTGTTACGTACAACTACCGACATACCTTCTTTAACAGTTTTACTTTAAAATTAGATATCTTTTAGTATATGTGTTTCTTTTATAAACTCTTTATTGATTGTTAAAGGAAATAAACATAAACGTAAGCATTAAATTGTGTCGTTTAAACCATTATCCAATTAAAAAACAATTGAACATATATTTATAGATCAATTTCAAGATTTTTTATTCTTTAAGATAAGTAACCTCCAGATTTGCATTTTCACATTAATGTAAACAATATGTTAAAAAAAAATCATGGTGAACAGAGTTTGGCAACAATATTATCCTCAAATTAGGGCCCTAAAGCCCAAATATTTTTACGGAAAAGGGCAATGATAGCATTTAAAAAAAAAACTCTACCATTATGAACTCGACTAAAATTCATCTGTAAAAATTTTGTTTAGTAAAAAACTATTTTAACGTTCAAAAGTTATGACCTCGTAAAGTTGACAACCCCCTCAAATAGAGGAGGTTTCAAACTTTCCTCGGACGCCATTTATGAACTATAAAAAAATTTTATAAAGATAAACTAATTTTCCCAATGAAATTTGATCTTTTTTAAGATACTGCAAAAAAGAAATATTTTTTCTTGTTTCCACATTTGGGACAGTGGGTCCTAATTTTCAGGTGAATATTGTTCCTAGGCTCCTATCATTGTAACTTTTTGTAAGACATTCTTATTTGATACCAGTATCGATATTACAAAATTTAAAGTTTGCACCATCTCTAGAAGTTACTTATTTTGAACATCAAAAAGTTATGACTTGCCCGTTTAACCTTCTTTTTTTTTGAAAGATCTCGACAGAATATTTTTAAAATCTAGGTCATAATAGAACAAGGTACGGTGGTTTCAAAAATGTAATCTGTTTCTGGTGTACTTTTTTTTTCGTAAGAAATATTTCCACTAAGGTGTGAAGGATATTTGGTGTCTTCATCACTACTCTTGTTTCGTGGTGCCAATTTACCCCTGCGATCTTCAAAAGTGTGTCATCTGTTTTTTTCTTGCTAAAATATTTGTTTTTGTGTTATCAGGGATGCACTGTGTCCTTGAAGTAAATTTTGCAAATTTTTTAACATTTCAAAGGTTCTGGAGAGAAATCTAACTCGTTTAACAATTGTCCCATCAGTCTTCTTCCAACCATAAGCAAGGTTTAATTAACAAACACTTAATCTTTAATTAACAAACACTTAATCTTTCATCTTGAATCTAATAACTTACTTTCTGATCATCAATATGGATTTCGATCTTCTCGTTCTACAGCTGATTTGCTTACAGTAATAACTTATAAGTTTTATTGTGCATTAGATATAGTTGGGGTTAAGTCTATCGCTCTTGACATATCTAAAGCTTTTGATAAAGTTTGGTATGCTGGTCTTTTCAATAAACTTTACGGTGTATCAGGTAACATTTTAAAGATTATTGAATACTTCCTTTCCATTCGATAACCCTTCATCTTCTAGGATTAACTCTTACTTCCAACCTTTCTTGCATTGCAAAATTGGGATCTGCTAAGGTAGCATCTCTTTGTCGTGCTTGACACTTTCTTACTCAGGATTCTATTCTTTAACTCTATAAATCTCAAAACCGTTCTTGTATGGAATACTGTTGCCATATCAGGGGCGGATCTTCCAATGATGTCCTTTCTCTATTAGACAAGGTGCAAAAACGCATTGTAAACATAGTTGTACCTGCTCTTGCGACGGTTTGAGATCTTGCGATCTCAAACCGTTGTCACATCGTCATAATGTTGCTTCTCCCTCTTTTTTACTGCAAATACTTTAATTAGCACAGCTCAAAAGAGCTAGCGTTTTTTGTTTGATCTGCTAAAA